TTGTTAGAGGGCACATGCATTCACCAGAGAAAGACAGGAAGAGAGGGGGAAAGTAAAAATCACCCTCCAGGGAGGATGGTCATGCCACAATCCCTTCTCCTCCAGTTTTCTGTGGGGATTTTGGGCATGCACACACATGCACCTGGTGTGAGTTTCAAGCTGATGGGTCCAGGACTCGAACCACACAGTTAGCCTTGTTGGATCCAATGCCTTAACCACCATGCCACCTACTGGTCCCCACTTTACATAAAAAGGCCATGTAGTTGTTACTAAAGAATGAGTCTGTTAAAATGACCAGGTCGGTTCTGTTTAAGTTAAATAAAATGATAACACACTTAATGTAGTGGGAAACAATATATTTAACTGACCTCTAAACAACATTGGTTTAAACTGTGCAGGTTTGCCTATATGTTGATGGTTTTCAATAAATATATTAGAAAATATAGTATAGTACTATAAATGTATATACTCTTCTTAAAAATATATTTATTTGGGGTGGGCAGGTGGCGTAATGGTTGAGGGCACTGGACTCCCACATGGCTGACTGTGGTTTGAGCCCTAGACCTGGCGGCTTGCTTTCTCACTTTCACTTTCACTCTCTCTCTCACACACTGTCACTCTCTGGTCAAATTAAAAATAAATAAATAAAGTTAAATAAAATAATTTAAAAATTCATTTACTTTTATTTATTATCATTATTTTAAAATTTGCTACAAGGCAGGTGCACTCACCAGACAAAGATGGCAGGGAAGGGGGGGGGAGAGAGTGAGAAAGCAACCTGTCAGTTCATGACTCAAACTGCAGTTGGCCATGTGGGAGTGTAGTGCCTTACTACAATTATAATTTTACAGTAAGGCACATGCTCTTCTCAGAAAGAGACAGAGAGAGTAAAGGTGAAATCACCCCTTGGGGGGATGGCCACACCACGTTCCCTTCTCTACTTTCTTTTCATGATTTTGGACACACAAGCACAATTGTCTGGTGTGACTTTTGAAGCCACTGGGTCCAGGACTTGAGCCATGATGTTGGCCATGTGGGATCCAGCTGCCTGATTCTCCATACCACATGATGGCCCCCTTATGACTTGCCTAATACCATTTTCCCCCTCTATTTTATTGTAAAAATGTAGTCTATAATGCAAATAACCTACAAAGTACTGGAAATTGACTTTATGTTATTGGTAAGTGTCCAGTCAAAGGTAGGTCATGTTAAATTTTGGGAGAGTCAAAAGCTATGCACAAATTTTTTCAATTGTATAGGGGGTTAGCCCTCCAACCCCTGATTGTCCAAGGGTCAACTGTATTTCAAAGTACCAAATAAAATGTTTAATTAAAGCTGGAAGCATTTTTTTTCTTACAGTAATTTGAGAATGAACAATTTAAAAAACTCAGTTAAGTTTTCCTTTGTAGAATCCTTGAAATTGTGATGGTGATAGAAAATGAACTATAAAAGAGAAGAATTTATTAAATACTATTCAAAAGAGAGAGAGTGACGATAAAAAGTATTTGCTATAAGAATATATGTGCTCGGGGTAACAGGTGGTGTGGTGGTTGAGGTGCTGGACTCTCATATGGTCAACCACAGTTTGAGTCCTGGTGGCTTGAAAAACATGTCAGGCACGTGTGTGCATGCCCCAAATTCTGAAAGGAGACTGAAGAAGGGATTGTGGCATGGTCATCCTGGGGGTGATTTCTGACTTTCCCTCTGTCTCTCTCAGGTTAGCGTGCGTGCTTTATGGCAAAAACCTAAGAAAGAAAAGGTGCAATATTAACATACTGCCTCTGATATCATGACTAAACTCACACTAAGACCTTAGACTATATTCAGTTGCTATAAGAACAGTGATTAAATATGAATCTTTAAAGAAATTAATTTATGGGGAACCAGCAGTTAGCGTAATGGCTATGTCGCTGGATTCCCACGTAGTCCACCGTGGTTCGCGTCCTGGACCCGGTGGCTAAAAACTCATGCCGGGCGTGTGTGCGTGCGTGCCCAAGATCCCGAGAGGAGAATGGAGGAGAAGGCATTGCGGTGTGACCATCCCCCCTGGGGGGTGATTTCTCGCTTTCTGTCTCTATGTTTCTCTCTGTCTGTCTGGCGAGTGCACACGCCCTATAGCGAAAACCTTCCCCCCCACCAAAAAAAAAGAAATTAATTTATGGAAGAAGTATTCAGAAAAATTATTTTAAAACATTTTCCAAGAGTAGTTAGCTATTTATCTTGAAAAGCCTATTTGAAAGGCTTTCATATTGGCAGCTTCCCAGACAGACTTTCGTAAGAGAATATTAAGATCGGGAAACAGGAAAATAAGGTTAAATTCTTCTCTAATAAAAAACAATTACAATATGAATTTCTTTATTTTTTACAGGGAAAACTATCATAAGCCTTGTCAATCTCTTGTAATCTTTGTACTACTGTTATAATAAAAACTTCAAACAGATATGTCAGACTATTAAGATAATGTAAAAAGCTTGCTTAAATACTGCAAAAATGGAAAAACAAAAACGCAAACAATCATTTCATCTCAATGAAGGGATTAAAATCAGTACTCAGAGGTTTTTGTCTTTTTTCATCAATCATTTAGTAGAGCTCAGAGAGAACTGGGAGAGAATTAATTGTTTATATTTAACTTGAAGTATAAAAACGTTCATAGTTTTTACAGAAGTATATTACTGCTTTCAAGTTTCACCTTTTCAAAACTGCAGTTCAACAAAATAACTGTGGATGTGCAGGATTATTCAGGAAATTAGCCACACTAAAACACTGACGTGGTTCAGTAACATGAGTTTTAAACCTAGAAATGGCATAGCATGGGTTGGCCAGTGGGGGCTAGTTAAGATGGCTGGATCTCACATGGATGACAGCATGATTTGATCTGAGAAATATGTCAAGTGTATGTGCATGCATGCCCAAAATCCTGACAGGAGGGAAGAATGGAAGAGAAGGGATTGCTGGCATAACCATCCCCCACAGGGTTGGGATGGGTTCTTTCTCACTTTCCCTTTCTCTTAGCATCATCAACCCCCATCCTTGTGCCCTCTGGAAAAACTGAAGAAAAAAAAGAAAAGAAAATGTAATAGTATTCATTTCCATTAGGAGTAAAGCATTTATTGGGTCACCGGAAAAGTCACTTTTGCATAGAAAAATATGTCATGACTTTCCTGATAACACCCAATATTTCGGTGTTAGTAGATATTTGGGTTCTTTTTCTAATTTATATCAAAGTGAGTTTAAGTCTATTAGCAGTAATAATTTCTTCAAATGACTTCAGCAAGTCTGAGCAAAGACTTGGCAAACTTAATTAATTACAATGCATAAGGGGTTAATTTTTTAAAATTAATAACTCTGAAATAAAGTTATTTCTTCCTTTCAACTCAATACTTATTTTTATTATTTTTATATCAGATCCTTTAATATTCTTGGAATAAACTGGACTACCAAATTCTACAACTTAAAGAGTGAGACCTGCTCAAAGTTATTAGTTTCTAGGAATAGCTGAAGTTACATTCTGGGGAAAAGTTTAATATAACAGAATTCCCGCTCTTGAGATGAGTGATATAAAATCAATTGCAAGAAACGGAAATACTAAACAAAAACATGTGAAACTAATGCTAAAGTTTTCTTTTTTTCTAAAATATGGTTAAGAAAAATGCATTATAGACATACAAAGCCCTTCTTCCCAATAACAAAGAAATTCCAAGAGGTGAGAGAGAGAACAGTAAATAAAACAAATAGATTCTATTCATATAAATAGCTCATTGAAAAAGTGAGATCTTATTTACAAGACTGTTCTTAGGTAGCATACAACATGTGAAAGCCCATAATATACTGTCTAAAATCAAGTAAGAAGATAAGGGTCCACAGTTTGCATATTTAAAGTTCTGAGTACTTTGTATTCATCTGAATTTCTAGTGGGCTCCTGTATGACAAGGCTCTCATTTAATCATCGCAACACGGGCATGACGGAGTTTAGGACAGTTACCTTGCTGGAGTGGGAAGGCTATGGCAGAGCTGGGGCTCCAACAGCACTCTGGACGATGGGAGTGCTAGCCAACCCCCTGCGGCCTCCCCAGTGCACTGCTGTTTCCGGCCTTCGACAGCCACAGGAGAACACCAATTCAAACTGTGCTCAACACTGGTCTACAACTGAGCTCTGGGGATGAACTGCTGAGAGATTCTAGGCTTCACTAAATAACAGGGTTCTGATATTTAAAAATGTAAGCACTACTTACTGTTTGTTATTCCATTAAAAGTCTACAGCATTCGGAGTAAGTTGGTAAAACCAGTTTCTGGTCCCACATCTATCAGTAATTACTGATGTCTTTAGGCAAGTCACGTAAACGAGTAAGTGACAATTTTTTATTTTATTTAAAAAAAATTATCCAAAATGAAGAAGCTAGATGATAGCTCTTTGCGTAAATATTACAATCTGATCTGAACACTCAGGGAGCACCTGCTGCGTGCACTACAATAATTAGGTATTAAGGACCCACGCATAGGTAAACTGCACCTTCAAGGCAGACAAATAAATTCATGATTTTTCTTTTTCTAAAAAAGGATTTAACTCCATTATACACTTTGACTACAAAGACAGAAAAATACTCTGCCATAAATATTGGTCACTATAAAACACTAGAGATTTTAGGAGGAGGAAAAAAAACCTCAAGGCCTATTAATCCCGATTGAATATACTATTAATACATATTAGGTCATCAGGAAAGTCATGATGTATTTTTCTATGGGAAAATGCATCATGACTTTCCTGACAATCCAATATATTTAAGTCAGGTTCCTTTAAATAGGGTTCTGGGAGAGAACTAAGCCTTAACATTCTAAGGGAGTTATCGCAGTAATAAATTAACTTTTTTCTTATGGAATCTAGAATTCTACTTGTTACCTAAAATCCTCAAGACAAACTGGGAACATCGTTTTCTGTGTTCTGTCCAGAACATGAACTCTGGCTGAGCTCCTCATTTTGCCAGCACTTAGCAGCTGCTTACCACTGCAAACGGAGGAGGTGATGTTGTACAGAAAGGGGTAAAACTGCATGCAGCGGATCAGCTTCAGGCTGTTTTCACACTCTGGGCATTTGGTAGTTAATTTCAGAGCCTGTCTAAAGGCCTCAAGTGCCCCACTGATATTCTTCAGAGCAAGGTAAGCATTTCCCAGGCTCAAAAATGTCAGAGGCTGAAAGGAAGAGAGGGAAAAGAAGAGCAAAATGTTAATGAGTTAATATTTTGATTTACCAAACACCTTTGGTGTATGTCATTTGGCTTTTATTAGTTTACTCATAAAGGTTATTGCTAACCGTCCATTTTATTCACACCAGCGGATTCTAAATGCTATAACATATGTAAATATGCCTTTTACTTTTTTACTAATATAAAAAATATACGGTATGTAATGTACTTAGTCTTAAGTGTAAAGAATTTTTATATATGTGTATGTCACTATAACCACGGAGCTCAAGACAGAAAACATTAAGGTTATTTGCAGGATCCTACGAGGCTCCTCTAGGCACCCGAAGTAAACGCTGTAGTGAAGCCCATACTCTGTCACCACAGACCACCTTGGTTTGTTCTTAACTTCCACACATGCCATCAAATGGCATGCTGTCTTACATATACGTATAACCTATATCCTCGTATACCTTCTTTCGCTCAATCTCAACTTCGTCCATGTTTCTGTGTGTAACAGTAGTTCGTTCTTCTTCTTTTCTTTTTTAAAATGTAAGTTTAATGGAAAAGCGCTGCGGTAGGAGCACGCCTAGCACATTTGGGGAACCGTGAAGAGCCAAGTGAGGCTAGAATAGACCAAGCAAAGGAATGAGCCCATGGAGATAAGGCCAGAAAGGTAGTAAGATCACAGAGGACCTTCTACAACCATCAATTTTTATGTTGTACCTTTAGTTATATGGAGAGCCACTTCAGGGACTTTTTTTAATTGATAAATGACAGCATCTGGCTTTTTATAAGGATCTCACTACTTGGCAGAAGCAGAGAAACCAGTTAAGTGCAAGAGTGAAAGGTAACTGAATAGGGAAAGCACACTCGTAAGATGGAGCTGGAACACATGGATATCCACGTAGATATAGACGTCGATGAATGAATTTTGATCCCTACCTCACAGCACAAAGAAAATTTAACTTGAAATGTATCACAGAGCTGAATGTGATTCCCAAAACTATAAAATACCTATTAGACAACAAAGAAAATGATCTTTATGTATTTGAGAATTAAATTTGGAAAAAGTGGTATCTTCGAAACTCTGCACTACAGTATAACTACAAGGAATAACGTAACTTAGTGAATTGCATGTGGGAGGTGTAGGGCACAAATATCAATCTATCTTTCTATTCTTACCAAAACCACCTTTCAGCTGTGCTCTGGCTTCAATGGTATAAATATGCTGACATACTAAAGATGGAAAACAGTGTAACATTAAGCTGTGTGCATGCTGTGACGAAGAGGGTAAGAACCAGATGTTTCAAACTGACATTAGAAAGTGGCAGTATATTTTTATAGCTATGTCATTTAAATATGTTCCCCTCCCCCAAAAAATTAACCATGTAATTATAAATTTCATTTAATATAAATTTAATATAAAAAGAGCTCATCAAAATAAAACAACACAAAATCTTCTTTATACCCTTCCTTAAAATATGCAAACTCCACCCTGAAAAGCAAAACCCAATGGTTTTTATGCTCTTCCTAGAAAAGCAAATTGTGCCCTGAATATGAGTTACCCCACAGTGTATGGAGCTACAATCATTCCATCCAACCTCACCTCAGAGCTATTGACGGCTAAAGCTTGAAGTAGCAGCTTGGTGGCATCAAGATGAAGGCCATAGTGAATCAAAAGGTTGGCCAAGTTGACAAGAGGAACGTCCTGGTATTGAAGTGGAGCTAAATTCAAAGCTCTCTGAAGACAGGCAATAGCAAAAGTGCTGTTTCCTACTGCTCTCCAGTAGAGCCCAGCTTCATTAAGTATGAGCCAGACAGGGGCATTTGGCTGAAAAATCCCAAAATGCTTCATTAGTACAAGAATACTGTACTTGTTCTAAATAGGATTTTTAATAAGTGCATTTTAACTTTGAATTACAATTACTGAGCATTTAAGTTTCAGATGCCCAAAGTAAATAACTTACCTTGTTAATAGCATGAAATAAGAAAGAACCGATTTCTTCTTCCGGGATAGTATAGTTATTAATACGGGAGAGCAAAATCTGAAAACACCGAAAGGAAGAGTGACTCAATTGAAAATACCAGGGGAGACGTTTGAAAAGTCAGCAATCTTTACATGAGCTCCAGAGGAGCAGATCATCTGAACGGACACTTACAATCACGTATCAAACAATGTCATCAACATACCCTGCTCACAAGTATACACTGGTTTCTTTTAACTAACAAGAAAGTTAAAAGACAGATGTACCCACAAACATACATATTAGGGTAATGTACAATACCCCATTAAAGTCAATCTAAGTGTCCACAATCCAACAAAAAATCATCCAGAAGACAAAAGCATGCACTACTTGACGTGATAGACATGTGCTATCTTCTCTAGCTGGCTAACACTGATTCCCCAACTAATCCACTCTATATTCCTACAGGATTTATCTAACTATGAGAAACTCCAGGGCAAGGACCACAGTCTACTTATCTTTGTATTCCCAGCACCCAAAACAGCATCTGGCATAGAATGCTTTCTGCCTTGGTAAATGTTTGTGGAATGTAAGAAGTAACTTGAGTATAATATGAAATTGAGATTTTAAAACAGGCGATTGTGATGGTTTGTTTTCTCTGTAAAAAGGTAATTTTTCATTTGTATATATAGAATGGTATCTTATATAGTAATCCATATTCAAGAATAAAACATTTCTAGTCATACATAACAGAAATGAAAGATAACAGCCTAATAAGAGCTTATGTTTACAAAGTGGTTACCCAATGAATACGAATTCCTAAGGACTTCACATAAGACCAAAGCAGAGTGATAAGGCCAAGGAAAGAAAACCTTCAAGCTTTTGATTTATATAAACTTTTGGAGGCCTGGAGGAGGAAATGCTAAGTTGAAGTGGTCAGAGGGCATTAGTTAGACCCACTTGATAGGTGAACAGAGAGTTCTGTGTTATTCCCCTTTGTAGCCCTGTGAGCTAGAAGGGTAATGCTTCGGTTGTCTATGTAAGCAGCAGCCCTGAGGAACACTTGCCTGCTACTCCTTTAACAACATGGTTGACTTCTCAATCATTCCACCAATTCTTTAACTCTACCCTTTAGTTTTATAAACGTAAAGTTCAACAACTGCTTTCTATCAAATTTTTGTTCCATCTAAGAGGCTTCTGAATCACCCAGAATGGACGGCAATAAACACCAGCCTAAGTGAGCCTTACTTTTCGTGCATGGTCATCTGGCATTTTGGCTTTCAGATCCATGCGGACCTCTAATTCTTTGACTAAGTAGGACAGAGTGTGGCTTTTTCTGAAGTCAGTTATGGAACAATCAGGGGTTTGGGCCTCTTCTTCTGAAGAATAATCATCACTGTTGAGCTCGTGGATCCTGGCACAAGAAAAAGGAACAAGATTCATATTTTCAAAGCTTGGGTGACTTCAAGATAAAGACTTAACCTTTCAAGTCCAAGGCTGGTGCTCTCAAAGAACCGCCAGGTGACAATCATGCAGAATCAGGTGCTTTGCAAATCCATCAGCACTTGCCTGAGTCCTTTGTTCTCTGGAGGCAGAAAATACGTTGGCAGTTCCCCGCCAACAGGGACTCTAGGGTAGCTTTCTGTACAGTCTGCTCGCTTTGGCCACAGAACATGCTGTTTGTCCTAACAAAGAAATAGAGGCTTTCATAAATCTCATTGGAGTCAATACTTCAACATGTTAAATGAATTTTTAAAAGTTCACACACACACACACACACACACACACACACACACAAGTGAACAAAACTACTATCTTAAGATAAACGTAGATGTGGAAGATTATACTGCAGATTATTAGAATGAGCCAGTAACTGTACCTGCTTTACCATGGACTGGCTTGGGGTTGGGCCTAAGCTACTGGAGACAACGAGCACAAGGAAAGACACGCTTCGGTTTCAGGGAGTGAAAAGCAAGTCTTAGTTTCTTATGTTACGTATCAACAGAAATATGTTGTTTCTACGGCTGCTCGCTGTCTTATGACCATGAGGGACACAAACTTTCCAACGAATCCAGTACTGTTGATGTATCGTGAAGAAGAAAGGGAAACATCGCCAGGCCACTGAGTCAACCCAATGTGAAGTTTATTGTATTGCTGAATTCTTGTAATAACAGGCAAACTTTCTTTTTGCTTAAGTCAAGCTGAGGTGGAATTTGTAACATGTACCTAAAAGTATAGATAAGCTTATAAAACTGACATAGAAAATTATTTTCCCCTAAACCAAGAACTTCTCTTTGCTAATATAGTTTATCAACTGTTTTTGTAAAATGTTATTTTCTACATATAAATAACATGTACCGGAGGCTTACTAAAATTTTCTCTTGAAGCTATCCATCTTTGAGGGAATTTATATTACATATACTTATACCTAAGTGGTTGCTTTCATTCTTTAGAGTACACAATTAAATTCTGAAAATGTAATGGTGAATAAAAAAAGACATAATCTCTGTCCTCATACCTACAATGGTATTCCCACTGGCTAAAGCATAATTATTTATTAGTTAGCCTTGAAATGTGTATTAACTTGCTTAATGTCTCTGTCTTCCACTAGAACGGAAGCTCCAGGAGACCAAGGAGCTTGCCTGCTTTACTGCTAAGACCAGCCCGGTACACAGTCGGAAGCGCAATAAAAGGATGTGGATGAAATATGTGAGTATACATACGTCTACGCTTAAGTTTAGAAACTTGTTAACGCTGATAACATACTAAGAGCATAAGCTATGAGCTGAAATCAGGGTGTCTATCTGCTCCTCTTTGTTGGAAAGAACTCAAGGCAGAGCCTGTCTTACTCATCCACATTCGGCAGAATGGCTTCCATTTAAGAGACGAGTAATACACGTTTGCTGAACCTAGATAAACAGTGATAAGGGGTCATATTCATCAGTGAGTCAGAGGGTCACTGCTTTAAGAGGTCTTCTCTATTTGAGAAAACTCCTACACCATGCTCTATTCACTTACCCTGTATGCATCAGAGTCCCTGCCCCAGATCCAGAGGACAGAATGGGCTACAGGAGAAGACTTCAGTGAATCGCTGCTATCACTCTGATTTGCCTGAACATCAAAGTTGACAGACATCATACTTGAGGTTGATGAATCCTCACCAAACTAGAAAATGAAAAACAAAAAGTTCAATTAAATTGGAAGAAAAGGAGTTGTGACTAAAATTTATAAGGGTCTCCAAAAAGTTGATAGAAAATGTGTATTATGAAAGCACTGTGAGTGAATTTCAAATTTGCCTGCACCAAAATCTACTCATACTTTAATTCTATTTTTCCATAACCTTTTTGAAGTCCTCTTACAGCTCAAACCAAGCTAAAACAATACTGAAATCTGGGAAATGATAAAGTAGGTCAGTAATAAAGCAATCAGATCATTTAATTGAAAAGACTGAGCCCTAACAGATTCCCTCATGGATAACACGTGGTTAGCAACTTTCAGTCACCTTGGCCACTGCAGAGACAAACAGCGCTGACTGCTTTCCTGTCTCTTTACTTCCTCTCCTTTTATTTATTTGTCAAACATTTCTATCTAGAATTTTGCAACAGGGCAAGTGTGCTTGGTGGAGAGAGAAAGGGAAAATGAGAAATCACCCCTGGGACGGATGGCCACACTACATACAGTCCCTTCTCCCGTACTCTCAGGATTTTGGCCATGTGCACACAGGTACCTGGAGAGATTTTCAAGCTGGTGGGTCCAGGCCCGGGGTCAGCCATGTAGGAGTCTAGCACCTTAACCACCATACCACCTGCTGGCCTCTGATTTAGTCTCCTTTAAGTTTAATGAGTTTGAGATTTCACTCATTTTTTTCCCCTCCTCATCCTAGGCTAAAATGATCACAACTCTATAAATTAGTGTGCTATGAATAGAGGCAAGGGAATTTAAGAGTTCTTAAGTTTTTAACATGGTTATCAATTAGGCAGTATAGACTATTGTACAATTAATTCCAAATAAAAGCTTTAGAGGTGAAAGGGAAAACAAGAAGGTAAAAAACAACAAATGTATACAGGAGGACTTCAAAAAGTTCAGGGAAAAATGAAATTAAAAGTTTATTTATTTATTTTTTTTTTGGAGAGGTTTTCGCTATAGGGCGCGTGCGCTCGCCAGACAGACAGAGAGAGACATAGAGACAGAAAGCGAGAAATCACCCCCCCAGGGGGGATGGTCACGCTGCAATCCCTTCTCCTCCATTCTCCTCTCGGGATCTTGGGCACGCATGCACACGCGCCCGGCCTGAGATTTAAGCCACCGGGTCCGAGACGCGAACCGCGGTCGACTACGTGGGAGTCCAGCGACATAGCCATTACGCTAACTGCTGGTTCCCCTAAAAGTTTATTTTGATGTAAACTTTTTTTTTGAAATTGATGCACAGTTTTGCTCATAATACACAATTTTCATGAACTTTCTGAAGACCTCTGCTTGTATCACTCTCCTTTCCAAATGAAAGTAAAACGTCTGATACTTTCACAAGATACCATGGTTCTTGTTTATTTCTGAAAACTTGCTAGATAAAAGGATGGGATGGGATAGACAAGACACGAGGGAAAAACTGAGGAACGTGGAGCTCTAGGATTTTATGCCTAAGATTGTTCTTTTTCAGTATAATGTGGTGAAGTGACTATGAACGCAGATACTGTGAGCTGCACTGGTACAAGGCGTCTCTCCTCAGAGCCTGACTTGAGACCATCAAGATGTCCCAGTGTCACACTGCAGTCCGGCCATGGGGTATGAGGAGGGCACAGCTGCACAGCACTGGAGGCACAGTGCAGTCGACCTGAACACACCAGGTGTGCCCATGACCCTGGCTGGCTAAGAGGTTGGAGAAGGCTCATGGCAGTGCGGAACCTTGTCAAGGGTCCTTGTCTCTGTCTCCATCTCTTCCTCTCTCTCATATGAAAGAAACAAAATAAACTTTTAATAAAAAGTTACACTGGAGGTTAGCTCGATGGGCTGGTGGCTAAGGCAGTCAGATCTCTCATGGCCGACTGCTCCATCAAGTCCCAGCCCTGGCAGCCAGCAAAACACAGAGGGCGCATGTGCATGCCCCAAATCCTGACAAGATGGAGCTGACTGTGGTGTGGCCCCATCAACTGGGAGGTGCTTTCTCCCTGTCTGTCTCTCTGTCTCTCTTTGGTAAGCACACGTGCCCTCTAGTAATTAAAAAATGTTGCATTTGGTTTCAGTCTATTTTATTTCTAAATATTACTCCTTTCCCCCTTAAAAGTTGGGTTTTAAGTCAGCAGCTACAATCCCACAGGTTGTGAATCTGGTCCGCCTTCATTCTTGCTCTTGAAAACCAAACATGGGCTGTGGCTAGGTACTGGTTTATAGAAAACACAGGAAGCTTCTGGTCCATATCATTACTTCCCTTCCTAACTGGCCTCTTTATTCATTTTCTTATTTTCCAATATAGTCTAGGTTTTTCCAGATTAACGATTTCTAACTTTTTGTATTTTGTTCTCCTATAGCTGTTCTCCTAATCTGAGTTATTTTAACTGTGTATCTTGGAAAAATTTCTTCATCTATGACTAGAGGCATAATGGGTTTTCTCTAGAATAGGGTAAGTTTTGCTTTCAATATCCTTTTCTATGATAGTTGGAATTCTGCCTTACTGTTTATATCACATAATCAGCCTCAGTTAGACGGAATGTGATAATATCATATTCATGCATTATTTCTTCCCAACTAGACACTCTCAAATGGGGTGTGTATGTATATGTGTACACAGAGAAAGAGAGAAGGCATGTGCTTAGCAGTGAATGGAGTTTAATACCTGTTTTCTATTGATAATAAGCATTCTGCTGGTGTTTTTGGTTAATGCAACATAACTGGACGGATGACTTCAAAACAAAAATAGTGTGGCTACTTTAAAATTTTAAATAGGTTAAGAGAGGAGTTGAAGGCTCTGAGTTAAGCAGCAATAATGGCTCAATGCTAGTTGCCGTAGTAAAAGAGAAAAGCATCAAATATATATATATATGCATTTACAGATAGCACTGTAGAAACAGAACATCATCCATGGAATAACTGGGTATTCCCTATAAAATCTTACTTTATAAACATAATGGATACTCAGAATCTTCAAGACCTAAATGACTGTCACAGATTTTAGGGATCAAAGAAAAAGGAGGCAAGGGGGAAAATACAAGACGTTGCTCTCCAATATGTAAAAGTTGTAAAAACTGGAAGAGATCAAGAAAATGACCTGAACGTAGTCCACATTTTCAAAGATATCTCCACGGTGGTAGCGCACAGGCTGGTCCCACTGGCAATGTAAACTATGCTGCTGGTTGACCAGGCGGCATATCTGATGGTTTCCTGGAACAAGAGAAGAGATTTACTAATGACCAGGGTGGGCGGAGATGTCACTGTGATATTCTCAGTCTAAGTCATTTAGTTCCAACCCTCTATTCCTCAAGTCCTAGCAGGCTACTTACACAGCAGAACACTCATTTAATAAAATCAAATCACTGTGAAGAAGTCCTAGTCTCTCCACTGGTGAAAAGAACGGACCCCACTAGAGGATCACCAAGGCATCTTCTTTAAATTATATTCCATGACTGTAAAATCTACTGATTACGTGCTTTAAGAAACTTTGCTCATCTCCCTGGAGAGAATTTGCTTTAGATAGGTCATAATTTTATTTCAAATACAAACATAGGAGCTCTGGTTGCACTGTAATACGGACTATGCAGTAACCAATCCTGAGGATCGAACATGCTCTTCACACTCAAAACAGCAAAAGCAAAACCAGAAACCCAGACCAAACCAAACGTGTAAGGCAGACTGTAAAATGGACCACAACGAACAGCTAAGGTTCAAGGGGAAAGAGGCTTTTCAATCAATAGATTTATCAAAAAGAAAGATACAATTTAAGACATTTCTTTAGTTTCCTCTCTGATGTTGAGTTGGCAGATCTGCTACCTGTGGCTTAATCAGAAACAAAACATTCCAGATAGAACCAAATTATGGATTCCCTGCTAACCCGAGTTCCCATAGACCAGTGATTCTATTTGTAAGTAAGAGATTCTAAGAGATTTTAAAAATAGTTAAATATTCTCTTCCCAGAGGAAAAAAAACTATATGCATATACACTTCTACATGTTGGAGACAGTTTGAGAACTCCATGAAACAAATCTATTGACCCAGGTTAAGAGACAAATTCTAGTCTAAAATCTTATGTCTAAGATACTATTTGTTTTTAAGGAAGCAAGAACAAAAAAGTATTTAGCCTTACTACCTATAGAAACCAAAGAGTATGGATATATAGCTTCTAGGGCGTGTCCAGTTTATGTTCATTTGGATTAAGGCTTTGTTACCCACAGTATAGCATTTTTTTTTTTTTAAGAGAGGTTTTTGCTATAGGGCATGTGTGCTCACCAGAGGCAGAGAGACAGAAAGTGAGAAATCACCCCCCAGAGGGGATGGCCATGCTGCAATCCCTTCTCCTCCATTCTCCTCTCAGGATTTTGAGCATGCACGCATGCTTGGCATTGAATTTAAGCCATTAGGTCTGGGATTTGATCCGCGGTTAACTACGTGGGAGTCTGGTGACATAACCATTACCCCATCCACTGGTTCCCACAGTATAGTTTTTGACCAGCACCATAAAGTTTTACCTGGGAACTTGTTAGAAAGGCATAATTTCTTGGGACCAGAGGATGGTGTAATGGTTATGTCGTTGGACTCCCACATGGCCAGTTTGAGTTCTGGACCTGGAGGCTTGAAACTCATGCAGGCCACATATGTGTGCGTGCCCAAAATCCCAAGAGGAGAATGGAGAAGAGACTGCAGCATGGCCATCACCCTGAAAGATGATTTCTCACTTTCTGTCTCTGTCTCTCTGGTGTGCATATGCACTCTATAGAAAAGATCTCTCTCTCTCTCTTTTTCTTTTTTTAAAAAAAGGTAGTATCTCAGAACCCACCTCAGCTCAGCCCTACTGAATCAGAACCTGCATTTTAACAAACTCTCTAGGTGACACTTATGCCTGTTCAAGCTGGAGAAAAACAAATCTAGGGCACTGAGGGCAACAACTGTTAAGGCTACTAGGATCTAAAAGACTTGGTTTTTATTTAAAAATGTGTATTTAAAAAAGCAAGGGGGGGAACAGGTGGCATGGTGGTTAAGGCGCTCAACTTCCACAATGTGGACCATGGCTCAAGTCCTGGAGACAGTGACATGAAAATCATACTGTGTAAGTATGTGTGTGTGTGTGTGTGTGTGTGTATGCCCGAAATTCTGAAAGGAGGATGGGGAAGGGATTATAATGTAGGCATCACTCCTAAGGGGTGATTTCTCACCTTCCCTCTCTCCTCTCTCTGGTGAACACCCGTGCCCTATGGAAAACAAAACAAAACAAAAAAACCAAAAAACACAAGGTGGGTCAGCTGTTGGGATGGTGGTTAAGGTGGCTGGATTCCCTATAACAGGTCTGGTGTGAGTCCCAGACCTGGCAGCACAAGAAACAAGGCAGGTCGTGTGTATGGGCGCGCGCACATGCACTGAGGGTCCCCAGGGGAGAATGGAGGCGAAGAGACTGCAGTGTGGCCAACCCCCTGGGGGGCTGATTTCTCAGTCTCTCTCTCTTCAGTGAGCACATGTGCCCTACAGCAAAAACTGAGGGGGGAAAAACACAAAACAAGGGGGACCGAATCAGCTCCTCAGGCCTCCCAGTGTTACGTGCTATGATTATACGCTTGAGGGAAGTCTTGAACACAGCTCTACACTGTCCGAAGGCTATGCACAAGTGAGGGATGAGAATGCAAGAACTGACTCTCCTCACCTGTCTCCCATTCCTTGGAGTCAATACTTACCGAGTTGTGCTTCTTTTGCCATCTGAGTCTCATGGATAATATTTCTTAGGATCTGCTCTTCCTGAATCAACTTGTGCTTTTCTAAGATCTCTTGCTGTCTCAGGTAGTGGTCATGCTGCTTCTGATACTCTTTTAACTCATTCAGTGTCCGCTGGAGGGATCTCGACATTTTCAGAAACAGGAAGAAGTAAGAGCTTTAAAATCATGAATTTTTCAAAAATGCATACATTTTCTGGTTCTCAGAAATAAGTACTAGGTTTCCCCCTTTTATTGAAATATAACCCTGTACCACAAGTTTAAGAAGAACAAGAGCTAGGGCTCTTTGGCATAGTAATGGGATGCTCAGGAAGAGCTGAACTCCATATGGTTCAAATCCCCAGGCTGGTCAGGCTAAAACACACAGAGCATGCACACAAGTGCCCAAGACCAACAGGAGCACAGACAGAAGTAAAGGGGTCAGGTGTGGCCACACATGGTGGAAGGCGTGCAGCTTTCTCTCATGCCCACATGCACGTACACTATCCTGAGTGAAGGAAAAAAAAAAAGGCTAATTAAAAAAATAATAACAGAGTTGAAAAAAAAAAAAGGCTAATTAAAAAACATAATAACAGAGTTAAATAAATACTATTCTTTTAGTAAAACTTGGGGGCAAAAAATCAAATGTGTTGGACCAGCTAAGTGTTGTGGTGGATAAGGCACTGGATCCTACATGGCTGACCACATGGTTCAAATCCCAGAACTGGGAGCTTGAAAAATATGCCAGGCACATGTGCGTGTATGCCCAAAATCCCAAGAAAAGAATGAAGGAGAAAGGACTGTGACATGACCATCCCTTCATCGGGGGATTCCCATCCTCTTTCTCTCTCTCTCTAGCAAGTGCATGCACCCTGTAGTGAATTTTATAAAATAGAGACAACTGTGAAACCTCCCTTTTAAAAAAATTTACTTTTAAAGCTTATTTATTTATTTGATGAGCTACAGAGACAGTACCCTAACAGGTTGTGACTCTATGACTCTCCTTCAGCTTCAGTCAGTCCTGGATTATGATCCTCCAACATGGCCATGTGTGTGCAGGGAGGTCTCTAGATGTGAACCCAGAGCCCTACCACTGTAGGTCAGCCTTGCAGAGGGTCATGTTTTACCACGGTGCCACCATTCGTACCCCAAATTTTTCTCTTAATTACAAATATCTTTTTATCAAATGGTGTGCTGTTTGGTTGTTCAAGATGTCATAAAAAATATATCACTATATGCTGTAAATTTTTACATGTTTAATAAGTCACATTCCTTCTACACAATTTGCTTTAGTTTCACTAACTCAAAGTCTTTCTAGAATCTTTTCTTCTTTTTCACATTGCTTTTGATTCTGCCCAAAGACAGGGTTTAGAGATATGACCACAATACTTTACTCTCACACTCTTGCTCCTTGATTTAGAGACTGTGGGAAAATCCACAGGAACTTTGCTAAGAAAGGAATACTCTATTTTAATAAGCCAGCCGGGTACCAGCAGATGGTGCAGCAGTTACATTGCTGGACTCCAACATGGCGAACCGCAGTTCAAGTCTGAGAATTGGTAGCTTCAAACTCATGCCAGGTGCCTGTGTGTGCGTGCCCAAGATACAGGAGTAGAAGGAACTGCCACATGGCCAACTCCCCTGGGAGCTGGGGGGGTGATTTCTTGCTTTCTGTCTCTCTGGGTGAGCACATATGCTCTGTAGCAAAAACCTCTTCTGCCAAAAAAGTCAGAGGTCTGATTATATTTTAGTAACAACAGAAATGACTAACCATTACACTATAACAGAGATCTTTAGAAACTATACAGATCGTGCAAGAAGAGAGGCAGTTCAGCTGTTAGAAGCAGCAGACTGGAAGAAGTTCAGCCAGGACAAGGGCTGATCAGGTCTAATTGAAGTCAGTTACAAATAAGCAAGCTGTCATTCTTTTCTTTTTACTACATTAGGCTTTCAGGCTTGGAAAATAAGCAAATACAAAAACTTAGTGCATTCTAATCTTCATTTAAGTCTCCAATAATCAGAGTAGACTCTAAACATTACAGCAAATTCTGATATATGAATATTTCACTTCTGAGTTACGTCAAGTTTAACTGGCCCTATTATTTATGGACTCAAACATGTATGTTATTAAGAATGCTGGAAGGACCAAGTACAGTAGAATTCCATTACTGCACAACATAACATGAAAACATGATTAAGATGTGAGCCACCGCTGCGCTGGTGCAGGCGGAGGGGCACTACTGCGTAACACTACAGCCACGTGGGTCCTGGGTCTGCCCTCATGGATCCGTGGTCCTGACAGGCTGGGAGGCGGGGCGGAGGATCACGGACGGTGAGACCCAGTCAAGGATGCCTGCCCTGTCTCTCCCCTTCCCTCGCTTCATCTTTGTCTCTCATGAAAGAAATTAAAAAAAAAAAAAAAAGGGAAAAGAAAAATCATGGGCCAAATAATGTCCCTCCATGCCGTTTAATGAATGTAACGGTCAAATCTAGGAACCCAAAGGGAGAAAGAGTAGTCTGCATGTTCCCGTGATTTACTGACAATGCAGTCTATGGAGACAGGAATGTAAGCACCAAATTCCAGCTGGTGCCCCACAGCCGTGGGTTCCACATGCTCAGGTTTAGCTGTGAACTGAACATATTGGAAATAAGGGGAAAAAAACAGGTGTATACATACTGAGTACACCTTTTTCCTTCCTAAGCAACATAATGTGACAACTATTCACACGGTATTCATACTGCATTAGGTAACGTGAGTAATCTAGAGATGATTTAGGGTACACGGGAGGATAGCTGTAGGTCATCTGCAAATACTGCACCACTTTATATAAGGAGTGTGAGCACCCACGGATTTGACACCTGAGGGGAGGCTCTGAGGAGGAGTGCACCGAGTATCCTGCTGCCTCCCCCCATTCCTGAAGGACTCCGTAAAAGCAATCAATGGCTGAAACTGTAAAGACCTACATCACAGTTTTTACTGCAAACCCTCTCTAATTCCCAAAGTCCTAGCTACTGAAGAGATTCTTCTACACAGCCAGTGAATTATGTGAGACCACCTGCATTTGGAGACCAGGAACAGGACATGAGTGGGGAAGAGGTTCCTCCCTTAATTCTAAGGATCAAATTAACACTGACGTCACCTGCACATGCCTTCCCTGAGGTTCTACGGTACGAGTGCTGAATCCAGTGAAGTTTTCTCTTGCCATTACCTATGTTGAGCCTCCAGTTTCTGCTCGAGTTTTTGCTGACACAGGACAGCATGCTTCCTCTTTATAGCTTGCTCAAAGCCAGGTTTGGCCTGCAAGGCATGGTCGTAACAGAGCACTGAATGGTTATACTCCCCAAGCATCTGAAGAGACAAAAACACACACGCACGAACACACACGGGGAAGAGACGTTAGCCTTGGCCTGCTTGCATCTGTTGAAACCCCTTAGTAAATTAAGCCATCACACGTCCATCTCACCCTACAGTGGGCACAACTTCAGTGAGCAGACAAGACTGCAGAACATGAAGGGGTGCTACGGGAGGGCTTAGTTGGAAGGTATTGCTATCTCTAAGGGGCATGACCTATAGAGGTGTAAAATTCTACTCAAGTTAATTATTATTATCTTCTAAGAAAGAATTATTTATTTATTTAATTGCACTTGTTATTAGTATTTTTTTTTTAAATTTGATCACACAGAGACAGAGCGAGAGAAAGGAAAGCAAGAAAGCAAGAATTGCAGTTGTCCATGTGGGAACCCAGCGCCTTTAACCACTATGCCACCTGCCGGCCCCAGTTATTTTTGTTTTTTATTAAGAGGTTAGAACAATCATATTTCATTATTATTTGAGGACTTTTTTTAGTTCCCTCTGTTTTCTTCATTTCCAGTATTCAGAGCAAAAGACAAAGGGAAAAAACAATAACATTCTAGTGATGGTTGAGGGGGAGAAAAGAGCAAATGGGTGGATCACAAAACAAAAAAGCGGGGGTAAAGAGGAGACGGCAGGTGGTGTGGTGGTTAAGGACACTGGACTCCCAATATGGCCAACTGTGGTTTGAGTCCCACTTCTGGAGGCTCATTTTCTCTCTCTCTTTTGCTCTCTGTGGTCAAATTAAAGTAAGTAAATAAATAAAGTTAAATAAAATACTTCTTTAAAGAAAACAAAAACAAACAGCCAAAGCTGGGTATTTACTGCGTATATATTCCCCAGAGTGTAGTAGCTGGTGAAGAAGTCGCTGTCATCCAGGGCTGCGTGGACCACGACGGCCGCGTCGGCAGAGAAGTGTGCTCTGTGCAGGACATTGGCCAGGTTGACCAGGGCGATGTCTTTGTTGCGCCTACAGGAGACGGAGAGAAGCAGCTGGGAGCGGGATGTTAGGGGAGAAGCACAGGTGCCACAACTGCGTGTGAGGGCCTGACAAAAACCACATTCCAATACCATGCTCAGGAAAAGAGCTGAGCACATGCTCATAGGCGAAGAAAATGATTTCATTATAACGCTTCATTTAAACTGTTAGTGGTTCTTGGGGCCAGCAGATGGTGTAGCAGTTACATTGCTGGACTCCCACATGGCCAACTGCAGTTCAAGTCCCAGACCCAGTGGCTTGAAAATCATACCAGGTATGTGTGCATGCATGTGTGTGCCTGCGATCCCAGGAGTGGAAGAGATTACAGCATGGCCATCCTGCCAGGGGTGACGTCTCACGTTCTCTTTCATAGTCTCTATCTCTATCTCCCCAGTGAGTTACATGCACCCTAAGGCAGAAAACTGTAAAATAAAAAATTATTAATGGTTCTTACTCAATCTGATAGTTACAAATTTTGCCAGAAAAATAAGGTCTGGCAAATACTTTATGATTTTATTTTATTTTAATTAATTAATTTTTTTTGGAGAGGTTTTTGCTATAGGGCGCGTGCGCTCACCAGACAGAGAGAGACAGAGAGACAGAAAGCGAGAAATCACCCCCCAGGGGGGATGGTCACGCCGCAATCCCTTCTCCTCCATTCTCCTCTCGGGATCTTGGGCACGCACGCACACGTGCCTGGCATGGGTTCTAAGCCACCAGGTCCGGGATGCGAACCGCGGTCGACTACATGGGAATCCAGTGACATAGCCATTACGCTAACTGCTGGTTCCCACTTTATGATTTTAAATATTATTTAAGGTTTATGTTTGCCTTTGAGAAAAGTCCTATTTATAGCAATTCCTCCAACTGAGGCCGTGTATTCAAGTTCTGAGTAAATCACAGCGTGTCTATGCTATGTTATTTTTTCCTTAAGAGAAATGTGAAGTATATAATATAATTATCACTCAGAACATTTTGATATGTAAGTTTGGGGAATGAGATTAATTTCATTGAACAATGATGGAGAGAGTATGCTACAACGCCATTTCTTACTTTCTCTTCTTTTTTTTTTTTAAGGTTTTTGGCATAAGACTTGTATGGCTATCAGAGACAGAAAAAGAGAAAGTGAGAAATCCCCTCACATGGGGATGGATGCATGGCAATCCCTTCTCCTCCACTCTCCTCGAGGATTCTGTGCACATGTGCTTGTGAGATTTTCATGTTGCTGGGTCTGAGACTTGAACCATGGTCAGCACAGAATTTGGTGCCTTGACCACGATACCACGCTGGCCCCTCTCGTACTTTCGTTAGTAGTTGGGAGTCACAGAGAAGCTCCGGGGTCAGGAGAGGAGGGTCTTACCTGGACGAGAAGTGGAGCGCTCGCATGGCACACTCCACAACCTGGCGGGGCTCGTTCTTTGTCCTCCAGTAGAATGAAGCCATGTTGTACAGGACCCACGAGGACGAGTTCTGGAGATACAACAATCAAACACGCCAAAGACGGCCCTGTAACTTGCCATGTTCAAAACGAGCACCTTCAGTACTGCAGCTCTTTTGAAATTCAAGACATCGAAGAGCAAGCCTAGTTATAGTAATGACAGAGCAGGGAAAAAAGCGCGAATACACTGCACCCGTCCACAGAGCCTCCTGGTCAGGAGCTGAGCGATTGCATGACAGCATGGTCTTTGTAAAGAGCCCGTCCACCTCTAGGGTACCATGATAGGGAGAAATGAAGCTGAGAAACCTACCAAGCGGCCAAAACTTGGTAGCTTAATTTCTGAAGCTCTATTTCAAGACCTCAGAAATTAAGACGCAACCTACTTAGAAATGTCAATTGCTCTAACATGAGCTTCCTGAAATTAACATTTTATAAGGTTTTCTATTAATGAGAGCAGCAGGTGGTGTAGATGTGGTGTTGTACTCCTACATGGCCAACTGTGGTTTGAGTCCTGGACCAGTGGCTTGAAATTCACACCCGGCACATGTGTGGGCATGCCCAAAATCCTAAGATGAGAATGGAGGAGAAGGGACTGCAGCATGGTCATCTCCCCTAGGCGAGGATTTCTCATTTCCTCTCTCTGTCTTTCTCTGTTTCTGGCAAGCACATGTGCCCTATAGCAAAACAAAAGAAAACAAACGCTCTTAAAAAAAAAGTGCTCCCCAAAGTGTTCTACTTCTATAATATCTGAGTGAAGGTATAAAGGCTGGCTTATGTTTTTGTGAAAAATAGATATTCATAATTTTCTCACGTGTGCTTAGAATCTAATCCAAATTTTCAAGCTACTGGGGTCAGCAGATGGAGTAGCTGTTACACTGTTGGACTATCACATGGCTGACCATGGTTCGAGTTCTGGACTTGGTGGCTTGAAAACCACACTGGGCACATGTGCATGTGTGCCCAAGGTGGGGTATATGTGTTATTTCTCACTTTCCCTCTCACTGTCTCTGTCTTTCTCTCCCCAGGGAGCACACATGTCCATGGCAACATTCTCTAAAAAAAAAAAAAAAAAAATTGAAGCTATTAAAGATTAAATCTTCAGTATATGGTATTATTTAGTGATAAACAGGAATTCAGAGAGGCCTCCTCCTTCTGTGGCTGGAATTTTTCACCCTGTCACATATACTGAATTTCAACAATACCAAAGTCACACACTAGCCTGGACTATGTCTAGAACTCAGTGAGTCTGAATCCAAGGGAAAAAACGTTTTAAATTTCTGCCAGGAAAAAAAAAAATCACAAAATTTTAAGATAAACTGGGGAAAATATGTGCAACATATATGACAGTCAAAATTTAATACCTTTAATAAAGAGCCCATTAAAATGACGAAAGTACAAGAAATCTCTTGTATAGATTTTTATAGGCTGAATTTATTACAAGGATGAATTATTTTTATTTCAAAAAGTTACTTTAGGGGCCAGGTGGCGGTGCAGCAGTAACTAACTGGACGCACACGGGAAAGGTCCTTGGGTCATGGCCTGGGCTCTCCTTGACCAGGTGTGTGTCCATGAGCTACACTGGCTGAGGCCGGGGGAAATCATGGCACGAAGACCCAGTGTCTGTCTCTCTTATGGAGGAAATAAACTTTTATTTTAAATATAGATAAGAATAGTTTAAATATAGTTAAATAGAATCGAAAATGGTTACTTTAAAAAGCTATCTTTAAGAGAAAAATAAGTACAATCCTGCATTATTTTTCCTTAATTATTTTATCTTCAAGGAAAGTATAAGATTTTTGGGTGATGTGATTAAAAATTTTAGCACCATGAGACCAGCAGGTGGCGTGGTGGTTAAGGCACTAGACATGCCCACACGGCTGACCACAGTTTGAATTCCAGACCTGGTGGCTTGCTTTCTCTCTCTCTCTCTCTCTCTCTGGTCAAATTAAAATAAATAAAATTAAATAAATAATTCTGTAAAAAAAAATTAGCACCATGAATAAGTAGCTAAGCTATGAACTTCTATTACTTGAAGTTTGCTTAGGGATAGTACATTATTTCACAATTGATTTATAATTATTGTTTTAGTCTCCTTTGTGTAGGGTTTTATTGTTTTTTTAAATCAACAACTTTTTTTTTTTTAAGATCTTTCTTTTGCCATATGGAGTGTACACTTGCGAGAGAGAGAGACAGAAGCAGAGAAAGGGAAAGTGAGAGATCACCCCTCCAGGGGCATGATCACATAGCAATTCTTTCTCCTCCATTCTCTTCCTGGGATTTTGAGCATGCACACACACACACACGCACACACCCAGTGTGATTTTCAAGCTGCTGGGTCTGGGACTCGAACTGTGGTTGGCCATCTGGGAGTCTAGTGCCTTAACCACCATGTCAGTGCTGGCTTCAAATATTTTATTTTCACCTTTTGTTTTCAGACTTTATATTATGAATTGGGAACAAAAATTCAATTAAAATTTTTACATGATAACCAGAATATTCTATCATAGCTTATTGGAGGTAAAATAAAAATATGTACATTTAAAGGAAATTCTTCCTGTAAGATTTCTCAGAAATCACCCCCAAATCTGTATGTGTTCCAATGTTGCTGTCTCCTTCCTTGGAACACTTTTTGCCCTTGGTTCTTAGGATACCACACTTTTGGGGACACTCTTTTTCCTCCCTCTACTTACTAGGTAAATGTGGGAGGACCCCAGGACTCAGACTGGCTTCTTTTCAAACTTCACTCTTCCCCAGAGGACTTTAATCAGTCTCATGATCTTAGATACTTGCTATTTAAACAACTGTTAATATTTAACAATTATTTTCTACCCATGTACCCAGCGCTAACCTCCCTTGGCATTCTGGACTCACAGAGGTATTTGAATTTAACACAGCCGAAACAGGACTCTCCTATGCCTTCTCCCACCCAACCCTGCTACTCCTCCAAGTTGCTCAGGGTGAAAACGTCTAAGTTGGCCCAGCTGCAGTAACACATGTGGGTTGCTGCTGGTACTCCACAGGCTGAGGCCCTGTGGGAGGCCTGGGTCCCATTCCTGGCCCACCCTAAAAGCCAGGTATAACAGCCAGTGCCTAATGTCCCCTACCTGGGAAGTGAGGCAGGAGGATCTTGACATAGCAAGACCCTGTTGAAAGCTTAAAAAAAAAAAAAAAAAAAAAAAAAAATAAAAAAAAAAAAAAAAAAAAAAAAAAAAGCTGTATTTTATTTGTCTTTTGCCCTCATTTTTCACATCTGGTCAGCCTCTAAACTCCTAAATATATCCTGATATATCAATAGTTTAAGTTCCCTCATTTCCACTAGTATTTCTTTTCTTTCTTTCTTTCTTTTTTTTTAAAGAGAGATTTTTGCTATAAGGTGCATGTGCTTACTAGAGAGACAGAGTCAGAAAGTGATAAATCACCCCCCTGGGGAGGATGGCCATGCTGCAATCCCTTCTTCTCCATTCTCTCTCGGGATCTTGGGCACACACACATACATGCCCAGTGTGCGTTTCAAGCCTCTGGGTCTGGAACTCGAACCACAGTTGGCCATGTGGGAGTCCAGCGACAAACCATTACGCCATGTATTTCTACTCCAAACCATTTTCACCTCTCTCTTGTACTGCCAATAACCTTCTAACAGTCTATTCCCAGTTCTGGTCCCTTACGGTCACTTCTCCATATAGTAATCAGAGTGATCTCTTAAAAATATCAGGGCCTCTTGGCGCCAGCAGGTGGCATGGTGGTTAACGCACTGAACTCCCAGATGGTTGACTGGTTTGAGTCCCAGACCTGATGCCTGGAAAATCACGTTGGGTGCATGTGCATGTGTGCCCAAAATCCCAGGAGGAGAATAGAGAAAGGATTGCAGCACAGCCATTCCCTCTTGGGGGGTGATTTCTTACTTTCCCTCTTTCTGTCTCTCTGGTGAATGCATGGACCCTCCGGCAAAAATTAAAAAAAAAAAAAATCCAGGCCCAGCCTCCGTGCACAAGCAGCATGGTGCCGCTGTGTGATGCTGGAGCCACGTGGAGGCCAAAGTGTGGGTCTCAGATGACCCTGGACATACCGGGCATAGCGACACACATTTCTCATCTCAGCTAACTGGGAAACCGGGGTGGGAGGGTTATGGCGTGGAGACCTTCTCAAAAACATACTTGTCTAAAAAAATCAAATGATGTCACTCCTCTGCTTTAGCTTCTCACACCTGGGGTAAAATCCAAAGTCCTCACTCTGGCTTTCAGAGTCCTACAAACCTGGCTTGGGCTCATGACTCTGTATTCTTTCTCTATCATCCCCACTCGCACTCACTGGGCTCCAGTCAGATTGGTCTAAATCTGGTGACATACCACCTGTTACAAATTGATTTCTGCCCACCCAATTCCATACAGTGGAGACTATAGGGCCTGTGAAGAGGGGATGATAAAGATGAAATGAAGTCATAAGGGTTGTGGCCCAAATCTGACAGGGCTGGTTCCCTCTCTCTCTCCTTTCACACACAAAGAAGAGACCATGTGAGGACACAGTCAGGTCAAGTTCTTACAGGAACCTAATTGGTGGCACCTTGATCTTGGACCTCCCAGCCTCTAGAACAGCAAGAAATAAAATTTCTGTTGTTAAAGCTACCCAGAGTGGTATAAATACATATTTGGTCTTTGTCCCTGGTTCCTTTTTGTTTTTAAATGTTTATGTCATCCATGAGTGAGAGACAGACAGACAGAAAGAAAAATTGCACCTCCGACAGCATCTTGATCTGTGACCCTCCTCAGCCTCAGCTAGGCCTCAGATGATGGGCAAGCACATAAAAGCATACTCAAGAAGGTCTCCAGACTAAGCCCTAACTTTCCCACATGGGTTAGCCTCACAGAGCTTTCCCCTAATCCTGGTTCTTCACACATAGCTCCTAAAACCTATGGACTCACTGGTGAAAGAGTGCTTTTTGTATGCTAATGAGATGAATGATAGCACAGGAGTCCAGAGAGACTCAGAAAGACCAAGGCATGATTAGAGGGTTGGAGCTTTCAGCTGCCCTACTCCCCTAACTCCCACCTTTGGGATGCAGACAGACAATGGAGATGGAGTTAATCAATGGTGACTGATGACTTAATCAATCATGCCTCTGCTGTGAGCTCTCCATAGAAACCACTAAGAGCTTCTGGGTCAGTGAACACATCAAGGCAGTGGTAGAGCAGCACACCAAGAATGTGGAATGTGGAAGCTCTGCACAGCCCCTTTCCCGTACTTAGCCCTATGCATCTCTTCTACTTGGCTGTTCCTCAATCATCTGTATAATAAACCAATCATAAGTGCATTTCTGAGTTCTGCAAGGTGTTCTAGAAAATTATCACATCTGATCACTTTCCTGGTGTGGGGGACTCCCAACTTTACAGGTGGTTGGTCAGTAATACAGGTAGCCATGGCTTGGGACTGGCATCTGAAGTGGTGGCAGTCTTGTGGGACCAAGTCCTTAACCTACAGAGTCTGGAGTCCATATTAATTCCAGGTAGTGTCAGAATTTAACTGAATTGTAGGATACCCGTGCTCAGAGAACTGTAGAATTGGCTAATGTGAGGGAACAAAACCAAACACTTGGTAGCAAAAGTGTCGTGAGTAGAAATGGTCCAGGGTGGCATTTTCTTGTGACTGCCTGACCAGACTAACCCCTACTCAAGCTCATTCAAGCTCCAGGGCGTTTGCCTTTTACGAGAACATTCATCCTAGATCTCTGAATTTTGGCTCCTTCTCGTCATCTAGATGTCAGCTTAAACATCACCTTCCTGGAGAGGATAACCCCAGCTGCTCAATCGGAAGTAGCCACCCAGTTACTCTATTTTAATTTTCTCTAGAATACTTAACACTAGGTTCTACTAAGCATCCTCTGAAGGATACTGTCAAATCCTGGGCCTGTTTTTCCCTTATTCTTCATCAAGTTCTGGGGATGCAAATGTTTTAATTGCCTTCAAAAAAAACAAGATGAAGATGTTAACTTAGTTACAAAGATAATCATATAATGCATCCGAAAGTCAAACTACTGGGTTGTTGGAAAAGTCATGATGCATTCTTGCCTAGGAAATATTGGGTTGTTGGAAAAGTCATGATGCATGCTTGCCTAGGAAAATAAAAAAATATGTCATGATTTTTCTGACAACCCAATATTTTACTTTTATCCAAAATTCCTTTCTTGATATACAGAGCAGTGTATCTGAATGAACTGTATACAAATGTTGTAACTATATATTTTATCTAATGCTATTTTAATTAATACTTTTTAGAAACTATATATAATCTGGCCTATAAATGTGCACATATATATATATATACACACACACACACACACACACACACACATATTTACATACAATTTGTTTCTTCATTTATTTGTTCTAATAAAACTTTTCAGCATTTTTTCCTGGTAAAATAAACTAATCTATCCATGTTTTTCCCTACCATCAAACTATATGGTTTCTATCAATGTACAGATAGTCCCTGATTTAACGACGGTTTGATTTACAATTTTTGGACTCTACAAAAGTACAGAAACAATATCCATTCAGCAGAAACTGTGCTTTGAATATCTAGGCAACCACTCTGTTTTTCACCTTCGGTACGGCATTCACTAAATTACATCAGCTAGTCAGCACCTCATTATACAGTAGGCTTCGTGTTAGACGAACTGCCCAACTGCAGGCTAATGTAAATCGTTCTCAGCACATTCTGGGTAGGGTAGGCTACTACGATACTTAGTAAATTAGATGTATTGAATGTATTTTTGACTTAGAATATTTTCAACTTACAAAAGCATCTGTAACCACACTTTAAATCTTCCTCTACCCCAAAACAAACTAGGCAGGTATTACTGAGAAAAATATCTTGTGCTTACACAGAGCCTCCACGCTCCTTAAGATGCAGATGACTTCCCTTCTGTAGGCCTTCATGGATTTGTGCTTACACAGAGCCTCCACGCTCCTTAAGATGCAGATGACTTACCTTCTGTAGGCCTTCATGGATGAGGTGACCTATGTCATCTATACTCCTTCCTAATCGTTTAGATAAATAAGTGAAGACTGGATCCTCCTTAGGTAACAGAGGTGCAGAAAGGTTAACTCTCTCTTGTACACCCTGAATAAAGAAAACAGATTTGAAAAAAAGAAAAATAGTAAAAAGAAGTAACAGTGTATAAAAATGCACAAGTAATTCAGTATCTTTCTTTTTCTTTTTTTGGAGAGGTTTGTGCTATAGGGTGCATGCGCTCACCAGAAAGACAGAGAGAGACAGAGACAGAAAGCAAGAAATCACCCCCCAGTGGGGATGGCCATGCTGCAATCCCTTCTCCTCTCGGGATCTTGGGCATGAATGCACACACGCCCAGAGTCCAGTACTTGAACCGCAGTCGACTACATGGGAATCAAACAACACAGCCATTAAACCAACTGCTGGTCCCAGTAATTCAGTATCTTGCCACACTCATTTTGAAAAAGAAAATCTAAGAAATAGGAGCTGTTTATAAAATTATAAAGCTATTTGGAAGCAGAGAAACAAAAATTGTTTTTATAAGCAAGAGGCCAAATTAAAGAAAAAATGCAAAATGAAAAACTCCCAAAGTCCTGTACTCACCCGCAAGTGCTGAAAGGCGTGTATACTATACGGAAGTTCTAAAATTTTAGTACAATCGGGCTGCTCAGGGTCTGAAGGGACAGGAGACTCTGTGTCTATATAATCTTCAGGACTAAAATCAAGACGTATGAGTGAATGAAAAGTAAGATAAACAGCACTTCATGAAAGAACACATTTTCCCCATATTCTCATCGCATCTTAAGTTTGTAACTGATTTTAGTCAACAGTTATACTTTTTCACAGAGCTACCATTAAGAGTCAAATATTTTGGGAGTTCAAATTTAAGGGGATAACTGCGGCTGCTTCCAGTCTCTCTGGCCTCAGTCTCGAGGAGGTCCAGAAGAACTATGAACACTTGTTTAAGGTGAATGACAGGTCCGTGGGGGGCTCCTTCTACCTGCAGTCCAAGCTGGTCCGTGCAAAGGAGAGCCTGGAGAGGAACTCAGAATCCAGGCCCAGGAGGACAGAGAAAAAGGGCAGGTGCCCAAAACGTGACAGCTTGATGCCTCCCTTCCCCCCACTGTCTCTAACTTGTAGCTTGATAATAAATGTCCCTTCTGCCTTTAAAAAACAAAACGAAACAAAAAACTAAGATTGCAGACTTTTTAAAAACACTGCTAAACTGCAGAAATGTTAAACCAATTTACACTCTAGTGACTACATTTTACCAGCTGATTGTTTTTATGCTTTTTTTTTTTCAATTTGCTACATGGAAGTCATTTAAATGTTTCACATTGTACTTACCACTTACCTGATTTTATATATATATATATATGTGTTGTGTGTGTGTATAATTTTTTTTTTTTAAGAGATGGGTCTTACTTCTATTACCCAGGCTGGTCTTGACCTTGTGACTGCAGGAGGAGGCCTCTGTTTAAGTAGCTGGGATGCAGGTGCATGCTGCCATGCCTGGTTCTTTCCAACAGTGTCTGGTTACACTGTCCATGCTGGCTTTGAGTGTGGGACCCTCCTGCCTCAGCCTCTTGAACAGCTGGGCTGGCTTTTAGGATGGGCAGGAACTGAACCCAGGCCTTCTGCGCGGCCACAGTCTGCTGAGTAGCAACACCTAACTGTGATGCTACTGAAGCTGTGCATCTGAGAAATACTGTTTCAATTTGTTGGCTTTTTCTTTTTTTTTTTCTATAAAGTGTTCAACTTTCTACTGTGGTATAACGTATTTTTAATTGATTTATAAAAAATTCTCCATGCAGTATGTATTTTGAGCTTTCAAATTTCAAGAAACTCGTAACTGAAGCTTATTCTTACTACAAAAATAATTTATTACTGATTTGAGAAAGGTTTAGAAAAACACTTTTATCTCTGGAAAGAGACTCTTTACCTGATGTCTTTGCTCTCCAGAGTTATGTATGTGCCATCGTAAAGATCCAGGTCCCCTAAGGGCACCTTGGCCTTGATGCAGTCCGGATCTTCTTTATTATGTCTCTGTTCCAGTCCTGTGTCTCTGTCCTCGTTCTCCTCTATGTGAATTTTCTGAGCAACTAATTGCTTCTGTTAAGAATAAAATAAGAACAGAATGGAATCTTCTGATATTTCAATCTACATATCATTGAAGAGTAAGAATTTAATGAGTTGGGTGCGCAGGTGGTGTGATAGTCAAGGTGCTGAACTCCCACGTGGCCAACTGCAGTTCGAATCCCATACCTGGTGGCTTGAAAATCAAGCTGGGGGTTAGAGCCAGCAGGTGGCATGGTAGTTAAAGGTGCTGGACTCCCACATGGTTGTCCTTAATACCTTAATTCAAGCCCCCAACCTGGTGGTTGTTTTCTTTCTCTCTCTCTCTCTGTCCCTCTCTAGTTAAATTAAAAAAAAATAAATAGAACAAGTTAAATAATAATTCTTAAAAAAAAATGAAAGAAAGAAAGAAAAGAAAAAGAAAATCACACTGTGTGCATGTACAGTCATATCCAAAATCCAGAGTAGAGAATGGAGGAGAAGGAATTGTAGGTAGGGCTGTAATTTCTCACTTTCCCTTTCTCTGTCTCTCTGGCAAGTGCATGATGCATCCTTATGGGGGGAAAAAAATTCAATGAGTGCCAAAGAAGTCAGAGAATCCTCTATGAAGGATGACAAGGATTCTGAAAATGCCCTGGGTTAACTTGGCACACATAAACTTCTCTAAAAGGGGGTCCATATACACAAAATAACAAAACATGACATTTATAATATCAGCACATGAGTGCTTTCATATCATGATTTCTGACTACCTATAAAGCACGTGTACCATCTTGACTTCCCTAGCATCGAACCCCTCTGCAATGAAAACTTCCTTGAATTTTCCAAACCTGCCAGGTTGCTTCCGTCCTTCTAGATACAGAGCATGCTGCTTTGCCCTGTATTCCAGGTGAATTCCAGGTGAATTCCTGAACCAGTAAGATGTATTTTTTCACACATATATAGGAAAAAGAGAAACATCCATGTTCCCACCATCCGTATCTATATGCTAATAGTTTACCATCCTCACTTCAATGTTTTTAAAAGGACCAAAAAAAAAAAAAGAAAGAAAATAAATAAAAAGGAGTTGAAGCTGCTTTTTATTATCTTCTAAATCGCTCTCTTTCCAAAGTTAATATTATTCCAAATTTGTTTTACGTATCATTTCCATTTTATAAAAAATGACATTATCTTTACTCTCTTAAAATATTTCTTCCATTATACATGTATGTATCCAAAATCAACCTATAACCTGGGAAGTTTCTAAATTTTGTATAAATGATACCATACTTGAGCTGGTCCCATAGTGTAGTGGTTAAGCACTGTGTACAGGGAACTGGATCCCACATTTGTGGACCACAGTTCAAATCTTGGCCTTGGTGGCTTGAAAAACACAACACATATGTGTGTGCACACCCAGGATCCTGAGAGGATGGAGAGATGGAGGAAAAGAGGATTGTAGTATGACCAGATCCAGTTGTGGTGTGTGTGTGCATGCCCAAAATCCCCAGAGGAAAACGGAGGGGAAGGATTGAGACGTGGTCATCCCCCTGGAGGGTGATTTCTCACTTTCCCTTTTAATGGCTCTGTCTCCCTGCAGTGAGTGCATGCACCCTATGGCAGAAACCTTAAAAAAAAAAAAAAAAAAAAAAAAAAGAACAAAACAGAAACAAACTTTCTCTTAATTTACAGAAATTTAAATAAGGTATCTAAGTGGGGACTTCAAAAAGCTAATGGAAAAATGGAATTAAAAAATTAGTTTACTTTGGTGCAAAAAATCTTGAAATCCATACATAGTTTTAATAAACATTTTCCCAAAACTTTCTGATAATCCCTCATATTTATAACATACTATATTGGGTCTTTGGAAAAGTCATGATGCATTTTTTGCACAGATGTACCACTATAAGCTTACTTAAGTAGAATCTGGAACTTTTACAAACCTAGAAACATGAATACGAACCTTGTTCAATGGATATTCCAGCTTTTAAGCTAAGGGTTATGACGTTTGCTTCTGGTTCTGCCAAAGCTTGCTTAGTGAACTCAGGAAATACATTGTCTTTAGTTCTAATTGTTTCCTTGCCTCTACAATGAGATTGATCTTTATAACTCTTAGCTCTCAAGCAGTCTGATTCTGCTCTTATTTTTCTTATTATTACCAAAAGGTTTGCAACTCTCATTTTGCAACTCTCTATTTTCTACAATTAATAGTTTCCTTAAAATTTGAGCCAATTTACATTAAGACTTTTAAGCAAAGATTTTATATTAAAAAAACACTAAGTTTTCAAAAAACTAATAGTGTTTGTTATTAAGCAAAATCACTTTATGTAATCAAAGGCAGAAGAAGGCAAAACTGATTCTTAACCATTTATTAAACAAAAAAGTCTGATTTTATTAGCATCAAGTTTCAAGCTCTCAAGGTATAAAATGATTAGTGCCTTTTTAAAATTTAATTTCTATTTAATCACTGTACATCTTTATAGTGTACAATATGGTTTTTCCCAGCACAAAGAGGGTACATATGAGTCAAGTCAAAGATATTACCATATACATTATCATCAGCAAGTAACTTTTCATTTTTGTGTCTACTAATTTTTTTTTCCCCTGATCCCCACTCCCACTCCCTCTTAACCACCCCCTCCTATAATGTCTCCAGAATCTACTGTTGGCCTCCATGCTATTGTACTTTCCAGTCTTTCAGTTTCTGCCATAGAGTGCAGACATTTGATATACATTAAATGGGGACATACAATGCCTGGCTTTCATAGTCTGGCTTGTTTCAATCGGCATTAAATTTTGCATATTTGTTCACTTTCTATCAAAATGATTAATGCCTTTTGCCTCAACCATACAGACACAACAGTAAGATCCTAGTGTTTACTACTTGGGAATAAATAGAGATTATATTTTTTAAGCTATTCCTCCTTTGATATTTTACCCATACTGTTCTTCAAAAAATTCCTCAAAGGTTAAGTCTTCTTTATATTAGAAGGAAAAACTTAAACATAGAATTTTGTTCAGGGACAAGTGAGTCAAGAGTTAGGCATATCTCCAGGCTAGGATAACCTATATCTCTTACTATTGTCTAAATATCACTTTAAAAAAGATAGTTTAAAAAAAAGTGATCTAAACGTAATATATTCCTACAAAAGTCAGAACAATAAGGCTTAAGAAATAGTATGTGTTAGCTTTCCTCTGAACAAAGTTACTCCTGTGAAATGCAACTTCCTGTTAAATAAAATGTGCCCAGCTGCCTTACCTCCAACTCTTTGAGGTAGTTAACTGTTGTTTCTTGTCTCATTAATATGACCAAGTCATGAGGATGCTTCAAGTTCATTGGTGAATCCACCTGTAATCAAATAAGCAAACAATCAATCAATCAAGCTCAAATTTCATTAATATTTGTTTGGACGAACAAAGTCTCTTTTAAGATGTTTTAAATTATGTTCAGTCACCATTATAATCAGCATTAACTGTGCAATAAAACTCAAGTATTTCCAAATTTTCACATATAAATTTTAGCAAAGAGAATAGCAGGTTCAGTAGCCATCCCTTGATTGCTAGCTTCAAAGAACAAATATTTGAAGTGAATATTCTCACTTGCGAGGTCATATAAGAAATGAATATAGGAAGAAAACTATCTGGCAATGAATGATAAACTAGATTCCTTAGATGATGGTTCATGCTGGGCCAGCAGGTATCATGGTGGTTAAGGTGCTGGATTCACCATGGCCAACTGTGCAGTTTGAGTCCTGGACCTGGTGGCTCGAGAAATACACTGGGCACATGTGCACACATGCCCAGAATCCTGAAATGAGAATGGAGGAGAGGGGGTTTGGAGTGGCCATCCCCCTGGGGTGGGGGGTGGAACAAGCTGCCAGGTCTAGAACTTAAAATGCGGTCAGTCATACGAGAGTCCAGAACCCTTAATCACTGTGCCATCTGCTGCCCCCCTTAAATTATTTTTAAATTTAATTCCATTAATTATTATTTTAAAATTTGATTAGAGAGAGACAGAGACAGAGACAGAGACAGAGAGAGAGAGAGAGAGAGAAAGTGAGAAAGCAAGCCGCCAGGTCTGGGACTTGAACCACAGTCGGTCATGTGGGAATCCAGCACCTTTATCCACCATGTTATCTGCTGGCCCCTAATTCTATAGGTATTAAAAAAAAATTGTTTGTTTTCTTCCTATAGGGTAAGGGTAAGTACACTCACTAAAAAGAGAGAGAGAGAAAGAGAACGCGAGCCATCACTCCCCAGAGAGGATGGCCATGCCTCAATCCCTTCTCTGCCATTTTCCTCTCAGGTTTTTGGGCAAATAAACACATGAGCCTTGAGTGATTTTCAAGCCACTAGTCTGGGGCTCCAAATGCAAAACTGGCCATATAGGATCCAGCAGCCTGGACTATCACAACACCTGCCGGCCCTAGGTTATTTTGCTTACTTTTTTGCTATAGAAAGTGAGAAATCACTCCCTGTGGAGATGGCCATGCCACAATCTCTTCTCCAGTCTAATCTCAGGATTATTTTGGGCACATACATGCTCCCCGTGAGATGTTCAAGCCACTGGGTCTGGGATTTGAATCACACAGCTGGCCCTGTGGAATCCAGCGCTTTAATTTTCTTATCACCTTGCTAGCCCAGCCCCAGGTATTTTTAAACAAGGTGTTCAGAAAAAAAATGAAGGGAGGAGGTAAAAAAAACAAAACAAAACAAAACAAAAACTATGGGACTATGACAGTCCCATTTCCAAATACCTAACCAATCTGTTCACTGGATTTGGAGAAGTGCAAGAAGAAAAGAATGAGACAAATGAAGTCTTAAATTACAGAAATATTTAAAGTATCATCTTAGTTTTAGATCAAGAAGTTAATAGATAACTAGGGTTTTAATCATATTTAGATAGCCTGGACCTGGGCAACATTCAGCTGTAAGGAAGTACCTTTCATTTCCTTGAAGCTGTTAGTTCAGCAAAGTAAAGCAACTACAGTAGGCATACAGAGAGAATTATTAGCAGCAGGAGGGGAGTCCACTGACAGCTGCTGTTTTTTACGTGACAGCAAATGGCATGGATCTTTGCCACAGAAGGGTTGGCTGGAGATGATTTGTAGCCTAACATACATTTTCGTCAAAGTATCTTAAAGTTTTTACATTTTAAGGTGCAATGGTAATTATCTTTGGCAAAAGCCAATTTGAATTTCTCTTCTTTCAAACACCTTTCTTCCTTAGGAGATTATAAAAGAGGAAATGTTTGACAACTCTGTAAATATTACAACATTCATTCTACCTTTAAATGTTTATTAAGGCTCGATGAGGCAGGCCCAGGATGAGTCACCATGTGGATTCTATGTACTCCTGAGTTAGACACTGGTACAATGTGCAGAGGAAGGTAACATGCCTTCAAAATGATCAGCCTTTAGAAGTGGCTGCCACTGTGAACCCGACCCAGAGAATGAGTCATCAGGGAGAGGCAGCATAAAGGTCATAACGCACATGTAAGGTCCCCTGAAGTTTGAGACTCACACCGGGTACACGTGCATGTATGCCCAAATCCCGAGAGCAGAATGAGGCGAAGGGACTGCAGCACAGCCATTGCCTCTAGGGGATAATTTTTCACCTTTCTCTCCTGGTGAGCACACACACCCAAAAGCAAACTAAAGGAAAAAAAAAAAAAAAGAAGAAGAAAGAAAAGAAAAAAAAAAGCAGAATTATTTTGTTTGCTCTATTTAAGAAAGTGAGAAAATATGAAATATATTTTATAGCAAAATTAAAGACTGCAGGTAAAAACTGACCAAATATTTGGAAATTAGCTACAAGGAATTCTGTTATCCAGAATGATTCAATCTTTTTTCTTCTCTTTTCTTTTTTTTTTTTTTTTTTTTTTTTTTTTTTTTTTTTTTTTTTTTTTTTTTTAAGTTTGCTATAGGGCAATATGCACTTGTTGGAGGGACAAAAAAGAAGGCAAGTGGGAAAACACTACTTGAGGGATGCCCATGCCACAATCCCTTCTCCTCTAAGGATTCTGTACACACACACACACACACACACACACACACACACACACAGGCACGTGCACACACACATACACACACAGCACATTTTTCAAGCCACTGAGTCTGGATTCAATTGTTTATCTGGTCAGGTGCGATCTAGTTGTTTTAACCTCCATGCTGGCCCCCAGAATGACTAGTTCTTTAAGAGTTTCAGGTAAACAAAGCTTCATTGTTATGGAAACAATTTATTTTAACAAAGAAAAAAACAATACAAAGCTATTCAATTTTCCTTTTAAGCACATTATATAAGTACATGTAACGAAACAGCAGTAAATATTTTACATAAATCAAGCTCATTTTCATACATTTCACTTGCTGCTTTCTCTAACTAACCAAGATACTGTTAACATCTACTCTTCCAACTTCGTCCCTGTGAACTCAAGTAGTAACAGCTGGCAGCATCACTAGGAAAGTGATTACTTCACTGCCACATCAGACAAGGGTGAACATTTTAAACTTACAAGGACCAAACGGAAGGCAGAAACACTTGGGAAGCCCTCCTAAATCAAGTCTGAGCCAACGGTCTTCTATGGATGGAAACCGAACATCTATTCTAACAGTACTTCAAGTCCTCACATGCACCTTAATCTTCATGTATGTGGAACTCTTTTTTCTATTATTTTAAGAAGTGTACTCACCCGAGTACGTGAGCACATGGGACAGTCACTTTTGAGAGGTTTTTGCTATAGGGCGTGTGTGCTCACCAGACAGACAGAGAGAGATAGAGAGACAGAAAGCGAGAAATCACCCCCCAGGGGGGATGGCCACACCGCAATCCCTTCTCCTCCCTTCTCCTCTCGGGATCTTGGGCACGCACGCACATGCGACTGGCGTGAGTTTTAAGTCACCGGGTCCGGGATGCAAACTGCGGTCGACTACATGAGAGTCCAGTGACATAGCCATTACACTAACTGCTGGTCCCATAATCCCCTTCTTTAAAGTACATCTTGTTTCCTTCACTTTGGTTGTGGTAGGGTTTTACCAAGTAAGGTCAGTTGGCTTTGAAGAGACTCTGTTCCAAACTTTTGTTTGGGCATTGGGCACTAGCTATCTTGTATCCACACGTGGCTGAAAATGGGTTGAAGAGAAATGGAGACAGAGAAAACCTATCCCTGCTACACACTGTTTGAACTCTGGATCAAAAGGCACCTGAAGCACTCAGAATTTTCCCCAACATTCGATGAAAACCTCACCACATGGTAAGTACAGATACTATTTTGTTTCTTTTCCCTTTTTTTTTTTTTTAAAGGTTCTTAACCATAGGGCACAGGTGCTTGCTGGAGAGAGAAAGAGAGAGAGGGAGAGAGAGAGAGAAAGAGGGAAAGTGAGAAATCACATCCAGTGTGGATGGCCATGCTGCAATCCCCTCTCTGCTCTCCTCCCAGGATTTTGGGCATGCATGCACACATGCAAGGTGTGATTTTGCACAATGTCAGGTCTGGGACTCGAACCGTGGTCAGCCATATGGAAGTCCAGTGCCTGGACCATCATGCCACCTGATGGCCCCAATGGATAATATATCTCTAACCTCTGCCCAATTTTCTAAAGTCCCTCTGCCTGAGGCATCTAATCCTGCTGGCTCTCTGAAGAGCCTGGAGCCACTGAGCATGCTGCTTCCTCTACAGGGAATGCACTTCATTCTGCGTTTGGTGAAGGCCAAATTAACTGGCTTAAATGACATTTCTTAGTGAAGCTAGCCTTTTCTTGAGCTCCCGCAGTACTTTACACATTTTTGTAATATAATTTATTACACTGGTGAATTACTGTCAGTCTCTCGAAAAATCTTTTGGTCTTCTTTCTACCCTCAGTTTGTAAGATGCTTTCCATGTGCATGTTAGGCAATTAACACAGTGAGGACTATCGGATGGATGGCAGCGTCTGCTGAACGTGAGATGCTCCATCTCCACCTCCTCAGCATCTCCATGCTCATCACTCAGTGATGACTACATGGAAGCAGGTGAAGTGGACCAGGGTTCAGAAATGAAGGCAGGTCCCGGACCAGAGTGAATGCCTGTGACTAACTGTGAGGCTCTAAGCAAGTCATCTTCCCTGCCTGAGCTTCTGTTTCCTCATCTACAAACTGAGGCACCTGATCAAATGACTTAGAAAGTTCCTTTTACTTTTCAAATCCTATGTCTATAAAAAATTTAACACACCATAAAAGTATTACATTGTTACTACCCTGACTACACCCTTGAAGTAAACTGATACTCAGATGAAGAAAATGATCATTTTTTTCCATTTGTTCTAATAAATTCTTACTTGTCTTGGATAAGAACCATCTCCAAAGTTACAATTAAATGCTTCTTTTAAACTATCAATTTTGGGGCTGGGAGTTGGCATGGTGGTTTAAGGTGCTAGATTCTCACATGGCTGACCATGGTTTGAGTCCTGGACCTGGCGTCTTGCTTTCTTTCTCTCTGTCTCTCTTGCTTTGTCCCTCTCTGATCAAATGAAAATAAATAAATAAAGTGAAATAAAATAATTCTTTAAAAATAAATAAATAAACTATCAATTTTTCAAATTAAACCAAGACTTTGATTAGCAGTGGCTATTTCTAAGCAGTTAAGTTGTTCACTGTGCCATGGGTGAAATTAGCCCTGTCTTTGTGCTGTCTATTTCTAACCAGGTTTATTTAAAATTTTTTCTGATGATGAGCTAAATATGTTACCACTAAAACAAACACAATATGGACAATATTTTTAAAAATTACTTGAAATCTGATATCTGCTGTTAGAAACATGTATCAAGATACCTCTACATATCTATGTGTGCGCACACACACACACACACACACATACACACACAGAGCTATGTAGACACATATTGTTACAAAGACTGGTTCATAATATATACTGCATCCTTGCCCTCTTTCTCTGCCTCCACACTTGGCCATATTTCTATTCCCAGGAAACATAGATCTACATCTTCATTCTTCATGACTAATATTATTTACTTAGATTCATAACAACTAAAATTCAGGTTTTTAGTAATTCTCTCTAAAAAAAATAGTAACTGCAGTGAATATCTTACATGTACTATTTTTCAATGCTGTCTGATAATTTCCTTCCTAGAAATAAAATGACTCGTTTAAAAATTGTACTTTTAAATTTACATATATATATATATATATATATATTTGCTACCTTTTCTCAGAATTGTTGGATTAACTTAAAGTCCTACAGATAGTGACTGAGATTCAAGAATAAGGGAGAGTACATTTTAATCTCTTGCCCACCATTCGTATTTCTTCTTTTGCGTACTTACGACAAATCTTCCTTGCTGTAATGACAAGTATGAGCTCAGTGTGATGAAAATCTTGCATTCCCTCACACATTCATAAAGGTAAAGCTCCTCTCCCAGATGTGGGGCAAGGTAGAACACCTCAAGAATACAACACCTGTACTTTCCTGCTCCTTGTTGGTTCTCCCCGTCAGATTTCTATCCTCACTTCAAATCTCGCTCACTGCCATCTGGAAACCACTGCCTAAGGAACATCCCCTTTTGCGATCTCTTCCAGGCTGCTGGAGCGGCAAGATGAGTGTGAGCGGGATGAAACGATGAGGGAGGCTGGCATGTCTGCTGCTCCACTTTTCACGCGATCCTCTCTTTAGGGGTCAACTCTAACTACCATAGATCTGCATCTACTTCAGGTGTAGAGAGAAGCCCAAGTTCACAGAACACCAGCCCAGTCTCTCTGCTCTTGACAGGAACTCACATGGGCTCTGGGCTACAGCTGTAAAAACTAACGTGTAACATACACAGATCTTGCTAAGAAGCATGTACATTATGAGATCAATAAAACACTATTACTACAACTTATCAGGATTTGAAATTATTTCTACTAAAGATGATTTTTTTGATAAAAAGCTAAGAAGAGACAAAGAAGATCACTACATAATTCTAGAAGGATTAACTCATCAAAAAGATATAACAATCATAAATATTTATGCACCTAATGTTAGGACACCCAAATAAGTAAATAAAAACTGCTAGCTCTAAAGGGAGAAACAGACTGCAACGCACTGATTGTTGGAGATTTCAATACCCCACTGTCACCACAGTCATCTAGACAAAAATTAAACAAAGACACAGGAACCAATTGATATCATAAACCAAACGGGCCTGACAGACACACAGCGTTCCATCCAGCAACTATAGAATACACTTTTTCCTTATCTCCACATGGAATATTTTCAAATATTAACCACATAATGGGCCATAAAACGAAATTTAAAAGTACAGAAACTATGCCCAGTATCTTCTCTGACCACAAGAGAATCAAACTTAAAATCAACCACAGAAAGAGCCCTCAAAAAAACTAAACAACCTACTCCTGAATGACTTTCAAACTACTGAAGAAATTTAGACTGAAATCCAAAGATTCATTGAAACTAATACCAATGAACAGACTACTCTCCAATAAGCTTTAAGACAAAGAGCAGTCGTAAGAGTCAAGTTTATAGACATTAGTGCTCACAAGAAAAAAACAGAAGGGTGGCAAATAAATAACTTAACATTGCATTTTAAGGAACTAGAAAAACAACAACCAAAAAGCACCAAAAATAAAAGAAGAAACTAAGTAGTAAAGATAGAGTTAAAGTAAATAAAATAGAGCATGAAAGAACTATACAAAAAAAAAAAAATCAGAAATGAAAAGCTGTTTTTTTTGAGAAAATAAACTAAATTCCTAAACCAGTAGCTAGACTAATCATGAAAAACATAAAAAGGAACAGAAGATAAAATCAGTAAATCAGTAATGAAGCTAGTAATATTACAAGTGATATATTGGAAATATCAAAAGAGAGAGAGAGAGAGAAAGAGAGAGAGAGAGAGAGAGAGAGAGAGAGAGAGAGAAACAGAGAGAATACTAGGAATGACTATATGCCAACAAACTAGAAAAACTAGATGATATGGACAAATTTCTGGACAAGTCAAGTTACCTAGGTTGAATCAGGGATAGTCTCCCAAAAAAGAAAAGACCAGGTCTGAGCAGCAGATGGTGTAATGGTTATGTCGTTGGACTCCTATGTAGTCGACTGCAGTTTGAGTCCCGGACCCAGCCACTGAAAACTTACACTGGGCGAGTGTGCATGTGTATCCAAATCCTTAGAGAAGAATGGAGGAGAGGGGATTGCACTGTAGCCATCCCCCACCCCCGATGTGTGTGTGTGTGTGTGTGTGTGTTCTTGTTTTCTGTCTCTCCAGAGAACGCACACACCCTATGGCAAAAATCTCTCTATATAAAAAAAGAAAAGCCCAGGGACCAGCAGACAGTGTAATGGCTACGTTGCTGGGCTACCCAGGAGGTAAACGCGGAGTGGCTTAAACTCATGCTGGGTGTGTGTGCGTGCATGCCCAAGATCCCAAGAGGAGAATGGAGAAGGGACTGTGGCATGGCCATCCCCTCTGGTGGTGATTTCTCGCTTTCTGTCTCTCTCTGTCTTTCTGGCAAGTGCACAAAACCTATAGCAAAAACCTCTAAAAAAAAAAAAAAAGAAAGAAAGAAAAGAGAAAAAAAAAAAGCCCAGGCCAGATAGCTTCATTTCTGAATTCCACGAAACTTTTAAAGAAAAGATAACACCAACTCTTCTCAAACTATTTCTAAAGATTCAAAAGGAAGGGATACCCCAAACTATTTTTACAAAGTTTCCATTACCTTAAGATAATTGAGTATGATACAAAAAAACTGAGGACATCTGATGCTCTTGGATTGAAAGAATCAATATAATGCAAATGTCAGTTGTACCGAAATTACCTATTAATGTGATTCCAATCCAATTAGCTGAGACATTCTTCACAGAAAAAGAAAAAAAAACTATAAAATTAGTCTGGAATAATAAAAGACAAGGCAATACTGTACCAAAAGAACAAAATAAGAAGCATCTCATACCTGACTTTAAAATATATTACAAAATAGTTATCATCAAAACAGCATGGTACTGGCACAAAAACAGACACACAGGTCACTGGAAAAGAAGAGAAAATCCAGAAATAAGCCCTAAATCATACAGCCAACTGATCTCTGACAACGAGTATAAGACAATGCAGAGACAAGAAAGTCTTTTCAGCACATGGTTGCTGGGAGAACTGGATATCCACTTGTAGAAAAATGAAACTGAACCCCTCTCATCATTAACAAGAATCAACAAAATGGAACAAAGATTTAAATATAAAGCCTCAAACTATACTACTGCTAGTAGAAAACATAGGGGAGGATTACGCTAAGCTAAACATTCCCACACAGCAAAGGAAATAATAATTAGAGTGAAAAGACAACCTTTGGAATGGGAGAGAATATTTGCAAATTATTCCCAGACAAGGGATTGCTAAATAGAATATACAGGGAACTCAAGCAGCTTGACCATCAACAAATGAATAATCTAATTTAAAAAGTATCAAATGTACAGACAATGCTCCAAGGAAGACTTACAAATGGCTGAGGCATATGAGAAAATATTCAAAGTCTCTTATCATAAGGGAAATACAAATGAACCACAATGAGATATGATTTAGCCCCAGTTAGAATGGCTAGGGTCAAGAATATAAAGATAGGGACCAGCAGTTAGCATAATGGCTATGTCGCTGGACTCCCACGTAGTCGACTGCGGTTTGTGTCCTGGACCCAGTGGCTTAAAACTCATGCCGGGAGCGTGTGCGTGCGTGCCCAAGATCCCGAGCGGAGAAGGGAGGAGAAGGGACTGCGGCGTGGTCATCCCCACTGGGGGGTGATTTCTCGCTTTCTGTCTCTCTGTCTCTGTCTGTCTGGCGAGTGCACGCGCCCTATAGTGAAAACCTCTCTCTCTAAAAAAAAGAAGAATATAAAGATAAAAAGTAAAATAAAGCCTCCCTTGCTGGTGAGGCCATGGTAAAAATGAAATGCTCTCACACTGCTGGTGGGAATGTAAACCAGTGCTATCTCTGTGCAAAACAATATGAAGGTTTCTCAAAAACCTACAAATAGAACTTCCACATGACCCCCACTAATCCCACTCCTTGCTATTTACCCAAAGGGTAGGAAAACACTCAATCAGAAAGACAACTGCACATCCATGTTTACTGCAGCATTATTCACAATTGCTGAAATAGGAACCAATGTAAGTATCTAAAAACTGATGACTAGGTTGAAAAGCTATGGCACATATATACGGTGGAATATTACACAGCTATAAAAAGCAATCAGATCCTATCACTTGACTCAAATAATAGAAGACTAAATGTTAAGCAAAGTGAGACCATCAGATGGCGTAGTTGTTACATCACTGGACTCCCAGGAGGCCGACCATGGTCTGAGTCCGGACTTGGCTTGGAACTCATGCCAGGTAGGTAGATGTGTGTGCATGCTCAAGATCCTGGGGTGAACATGGAGGAGAATGGATGGCAGTGTGGCCGCCTTCCCTGGAAAGGGATTTTTCACTCTCCCTCACATTATCTCTGTCTTTCTCTCCAGCGAACACACGTGACCTATGGCAAAAACCTCTAAAAAATTAGAAAAAAAAAAAAAGAATGGGTAGAGGCTGGCAGGTGGCATGGTGGTTGAGGTGCTGGACTCCCACATGGCCAACTGAGGTTTGAGTACTGGACCTGGTGGCTTGCTTGCTTTCTCTCTCTCTCTCTCTGTTGAGCACACATGTCCTATGGCAAATTAAAAAATAATAATAAATAAAATTAAATAAATATTTTTTAAAAGAATGGGAAATATACACAGATCTTAGTAAGAAGCATGTAGATTATGAGATCACTAAAACACTATTGCAGGGTTTGGGACTATTTTTGGTGAAGATTACTTTTTTTGATGCTACAGTACTGTATAATATTTTAATGAAAAATTAAAAACCAGTCTTGGGCCAGCCTTGTGGCCTGGTCATTGAGAGAGCCAGACCTTGTAGCCCTAGAAGCTTGAAAACCCACATTGGGTGTGTGCATGAGTGTCCAAAGTCCCTATGGGGTGGAGAAATGAGAAGGGTCCTCTCCCTTTTCCTCTCTCTGTCTCTCTCTGGTAGGCACACACACCCTCTGGCAAAATTGGAAAAAAGAAAAAGAATAAAACCAATCTCAATATTAGAGGGTATCAAGTCATCAAAATTAAAAATGAACTGGAAAGAAATGAAAATAATAAATCCTGACCATCCCTTGAATTTTCATAGCCTTATATATCTATTTTCTAAAGTTTTATCCTCAACTGAATTTTACTCTCTCACTTCCATAGTTCCTGGAAGACATAGTCTAAATGCTTAAACTCGCATGACATATTCAAGGTATGTGACATATATTATATAGCTATTATCTAAATTTGTACTTTTATAGTGTTGCAGCAAATTTTATGAATATTCATGTCAATGAATAATTAGTTTTCCTAATTGATAAGCAAGTGACTAAGCATTTTCCACTAGAACAAGTGAGCAACTTCTTAAAAGTGCTATCAATCTACTTTAATTTATGCCAACAGGAAATATACAAATAATATAATGAATAAAGTAGGTAATTTGCAACTTTTGAAGGAAAGAAAATAAAATACTGTACCAGAACAAAAACATCACAGATTCTTTTTCATTTGTATACTTCAGGATATTCTTGTAAACATACATAGAAGCCATCAGACCTCTTTTAGCTGTAGCTCAAGAGTGTAATACAAGCTGCAGATACTGAACACAGGAGCAGGCAGAAGAATGGCCCAACAGGGGACAGAGGTGGTATAGAGGTTAAGATGCTGGACTCCCACATGGCCAACCACCGTCCAAGTCTCGATTTGGCAGCCTGAAAATCACGCTGGGCATGTGTGCATGTG